GGCTTCATTATGACTGTTAAGAGAGTCTTCAGCTGGGACTTCTGTGGTATGGAGACTCCTTCATGTCAGAGAGCTAAGGAAACTTGAGAAAAGGTGAAAAGGGTTATTTCATGCATTTAGGAAATAACTACATGACTAATAATGACCACACAGGTAATTAATGTTTGCTATGGACAACATGTGGGCCACATGAATGTTCTCTAAATAGGGTCTACTCAAGAGGAGGACAAAGAACTTGCAATAGTGAGAGTGTATGTAGAGTAGGTGGTTGGGGAACAAAGCTGAGGGAGTAGTCTTGTTCATACCATTGGATCTCTTCTCTGACAGGCCTAGAGAGAAAAAAAACATGGTTCTGGAAAAATCACAAAATACTTGATTTTTGTATCTTCCAGACCTTCTCTTTTGTGCCATATGGGATGTGGAGCACACTGAACACTTGGACCTCTGTGAGATGCTTGCAGTCTGTCCAGCTAAACCCCTAAGAAATGGGGTACTCTGTTCCAATATTTTCTATCTGGATTTTCTGTGCTTTTTTTCCCCTGGAGCTAGTAGGCTACCAAGATGCTCCCAGTCTACTCTTTGTTTCTTTCCTTCATTTTTTTCCTTCCTTTCTCCCAAGCTTTGGAAAAATTCTCTATTTCATTCCCCTTTTTGGGAAGGAATTTTTGCCTTATGCTATGACTTGCTTTTTTTCTATTCCTTATTAGTGATATAGCCTTAATACAAGAAAGGATGCAGGAAACAAGCATATTTTAGCAAAAGAAATATTTTGAGAGATAACCTTAAGGCTCTTTCTTTAGAAAACCTTTCTGCTTTGCTGATATCATTGGAATTTTACGAGCTTGTCTTTATTATGGTAGGGATGTTGGAGTAGAAACCCCATTGCACTAAGAACCTTAACTCATGGTTGCCTCCTGAATCACACGATTTCATTCCCTTTATCTAGTTATATATCCCTTTTCTCCTTATTATTCTTTTTTTGTATTTAATAATCATAAAGTTTGTTTTCCAGTCTGGGTTGGAGAACATTTATAATAATCTCATTTCATTGCTTTTACTCACTTTCTTGTAAGTTGTTTGTACAACGTGGGGTCAATCATTGGATTCAAATAAATGGAATAAGTTGTGCAATGGTTATATAAAACTCTGTTTAAAAATACATGCAAGAAATGAAATCCTGGATTTTTCTTTAGACAAGAAGAGACAAATGAATCTTTAATCAGTTATTTCTAATAACTTGAACATTTTGTCTCAATAGATAGTGAAGTGATTATTTTTGTAGTTGGGGATAGAGGTGTATTTTCAGTAAAGATCTTAATTGTGTAATTTGACTTTTCAAAATTGGATGCTAGATGTAATATCTGTATATGCATTTTATTAAACACTCTTTTCAATCAGATATATTTAAAGATTCTTGTTTGGGTGAAGTCAGATTTGTCAGCTCTTCAATCAGTTTGTAGTACATTGTAAAAGAATATACTCAAAACAGAGCTAAGCTGTCAAGCTGTGACAACTTTGAATGAGGAAGATTTTCAGAAATTATGAGTGAGATATTTTAAATGTCTCCTTGACATCCACAGCACTATTCAAAATACTTCATCAGAAGCATGTGCTTCAAAAATGTACTTGAAAATTAATGTAAGGAGTGTAATTTGTCAGTCTTTGTCTTCTCCAACGTGGCACTGACAGCCATGGAGCATGTGCAGTAATATAACACTGATCTCTCCACCTAGGTGCTGCCAGAATGCAGAAAGATGGAGTGATCTCTTCAAGGGGCAGTTAGAAGGGCCTCCAGGAAGGCAGAAACATAAGAGGCTTGATTCCAAGTCCTGTTGATACCTGTCTGAGCCAGGGGCAAGTAGCAAACTCGATTTGTCCTTTGCCAAGAGGTTTGTGTGATTTAGTGATTCCTTGAAGGAGCCATTTCATCCTTAGCTGTGTGTCAGGGATGCAAGCTATTTGTCCCGACCTCAGTTCATAATGGGAAGGCTATGGCAAGAGACAAAGCCTGGGCTATTTATTTTGAATAAGTCTCTTAAGGGGTAAAGAAATATCTGTGGCCGGGGGCTGTCCTAAGTTAGCTGCCTCTAAATTCGAAGAAACCTTTTCAACACCTGACCTGGAAGAACCCTCAGGGACAACACTTAATTGGTGAAGGGACATATGGATCATAGTGAGCCATGTACTTTCATGTTTCTTTTTTCTGCTCCTCAGTACCTGATAATTGGATGTGTAGCATATTTGTTGTTATAATTTAAGAAATCAAGGTGTATGGTGGTGGTTGTGGAGTGGTACACAGTGCTTAATATTTAAGAGAAAATTTTAAAATGTATTTTATGGTAGTCCTGCCTTTCATTTGCATCGTTTCTTTAATTTTATAAGGTGCTTTAAAAATAGAAAATCCTCAGTAGAGATTCAAGATAGTTTCAGGGAAACCAAAGTCAGAAAGGCACCGGACCAGGTTCCAAGAGCTGACCAGGTGCTGAAAGAAACTCAGGTAGCTATTGTGTGTTGGACAGCAGTCGCTTTTCTTCTGTATATATGTATGTCTTTTTTCTCTTTAGAGGGAAGGAGGTGTTTCAAGAAGGGAAGAATGGAGACAGGCATTTGCCACAGTGGTTAAAATACTGATACCCCGTATTGGAGTTCTTGGATTCTAGTCCCATCTCTGTTTCTGATTCCAGCTTCCAGCTAATGCTCACTCCTGCAGGCTCAAGTACTTGGGTCTCTGGCACCAATGTGGGAGACTCAGATTGAGTTTCTGACTTCTGGCTGTTGCTGCCATTGTGGACAATTGGGGAGTGAATCAGTGGATGGGAGATCTCTGCTTGCCTGTCTCTGCTTTTCAAATAATATAAAGTTAAAAGAAGAAAGGATGGCCAATGGTGTTGGATGCTAATAAGGTATCCTGTTAGAACAATGGGGGCTGTAAAGACAGCCTCTGGACTGTTCAGATTAAGGGGAGCTCAACAACAAGCTATCTTAGAAAGGGCTGAGAAGTTTCTCAGAGATAGCTTTGTGATACTTTGCATATTTTTAATCACTCTTCTGCTAACCATAATTAGGAAAAGGAACTTTAGAGGGGTTTAGTTCTTTTTCTGGTAATATACATCTAGGGGGAGTGCTTGATGAAGAATTCAAACACAGGAGTGTCTGCTCTGATGGGCTGGACTCTTAACTGCGATAAATTTTTCCACTACCTATATAAGGGCCATGAGTATGTGAACACTTAAAGAGTAGACATTCTTCGAGGTCCTAGGATGTGCTGGATAGATTTATGACCACAGATGCTATACAGGAGATGGCTTCCATGATTTGCTTAGTGTCACAAAAATAGAAAATAGCACAAGGAAGAAGTTTTTATCATTAATGCTGTTATTTACTTGAATTTACCGTAGACAAAATGGTCTCCTTTGCCCCAGCTCTGCTTTATTATTTGAGGTAAACATGCTATTTTGGTGGTGCACTGTTCTTTATCAGAGAATGTGTAATAGAGAATTTTGTTATTTGACTTACATATTCTATCTGTAGCTTCTGGAATAAAGGAATAATAGAGACAATTAGTTCTGCTAAATGCATCTTGAAGCCATGTGTTAGCTTATCTATGGATTTTCTCCTTAGATGTTTAAATATTCCCCCTGCAATTTAGGTTTCATCAAACAAAGGAGATCTGATTTAAGATAATTCTCTGGGTAAGAAAGCAATTGCTGCTACAATCTGCCATTCACCCAGAGCCATTGATCCCAGGATAAACATTCATTTATCAGAGAATTCAAAACAAAACACAACATATGCTGTCGGTTATAGCAAATTGATGGATAGAATTCTACATTCCCCCTAAGTTCTCCTATGTAGGCATTATTTCATTTACTTTGGTGAAAATTACTATAAAGTATTAGTTTCATCTGTTTTTACCGTTATTCCTAATTAAAAATACAAGTTGTTTATCATTTTATAAAGTTAGTCCATTACCTTAACCTCCATGGACTATTACATTTATTTAAAATTTACTTTTCAAAGCATTAATGGATATTTAAAAATGGATTCTTTTATAAGGCACTCCATCCTTTGGAACCATTCATTCTGTATCATGTTAGTAAAGTGCTTCGGAGGAATTCAGACATCTGAACTGTGACTTTGGCCTTGTACAGTGACCTTCTTTTAGCAACCATATAATCATCTTTTGTAAGCTATAGTCCAGGTGTGAAGGGGTTGTGGCCATGAAGAAATGCTTTTCATTAGAGTTGTTACTGGATTTTGCAGTCTGCATGCAGCAAGTAAAATGACCATGAGATGATAATTAAGTGGTCTCTTTTTATTATTTCAGAGAAAAAATTCACAATTCTGGTGATTGCAAAGTCTCTGAATTGGAGATAAAAAAACACACAACATAAAACACTTGCATGAGCACAGATTCCCTCCTTTCATTTTAAAAATGTAGATGATATTTTTTCTTGAATAATGAGTGTCTTGTAGGACAAGAGGCTCTTGACTGAAGGTTGGCATTTAAATACTTGCTATCTAACAGCAGTATAAGCAGATTGTACAAAGGAGACTACTGTTTAATCACTGAAGTTCAAAACCAAGGTTTCTTTCTACGAGGGGAGTTTGGAGCCTCTAAAAAATGCAACAGATGGGTACCTCAAATTTAAATTCTTTTGATAATGATTAAGGATTTTCTGCTTAAAAATGATGAAAATAAAACTTTCACTGACAGTCTTTGAAGATGACATGAGAAGATCTATCAGGAAATTATAAATTTTTTGTTGGATTCATTTTAAAATAAGTGGGTTTTGCTTCTCTGTACTATATGATGTGTCTTTTCTGTGTTTTAATAAAAGTTTTCACTTAGGGTTGCATAAAACTCAGAAAGAAGCCATTGTTTCAAATAAGAGTTTGTGCATTATTGCCTGGACTTGGAGGCCTGAAAAATATTTTAGTCTCTGGTACATAAATAAAGATGGTCTCAACTATATTGTTGTTTATTTTTCTTCTCTTAGACCTTCCATAGAATGCCACCATAAATAACCAAGACTCACCAGTGACCTCCAGACTACACTGCTGTGGATCATATATCTGCTAGTTTTCCCACCCAAAATCTGGATAAGAGTACGTAAAAGTCTGTAAATAGCAATTAAGAAAGAATTCATATTTTGTCAATTGCTACTAAGTTCTTAAAATGTTTCTCCCATAAATTGATTTGAAAATGTCTTTCCATTGCCATGGGTTTTGAATGCATTGCCAGGAAGTTGCCACCCATGGTTTTATTACCAAGAAAAAAAATCTGTCAAACATAGTCACCTTGGATTGTACTCATGTGTTGATTAACATGAAGTACATTAAGTCCCCTTATAGAATTTGTTATTTTGGTTTGTACATCAATACTTTGCTAATTTAATAATCCTGCATCTAATAAATTAATTCTGCATCTTTATTGAATTTCAAAAAGCATATTATATAATATGCTTGGTTAGTACCTGGAGAATAACATTTTATATTATAAATTATCAATACTTATTGATTAGACTGGAGAGGGCTGTAGAATTCTTGAGTAGCAAATTTTATCAAGTATAAATGAAACATCACATAGAATCATAGAAGGTTTTTTAAGCTCTGGGAAGGCTTTTTTATTATCATCAGTGTATTTTATAGTTTGGATGGCATACTGAATATGGATGGAAAAAAATCAATATTAAATGCATTTTATTTAAATTAAAAAATATACATCATATCCAAATGCAACAGCTCAATGGTTGCACTGGAACAATCTAAAAGTTGTTAATTCCACAGCATGAGGCCCTATATATGCAAAATGAGATGAAATCTACTATGTGCCAGTGCTCCAGATTGCTGCCTGCCTTTGCCTTCTGATATATGCGAAATCTCAGTAAGATGTGCTATGTGAGAAAAGAAATCAGTGGGTTCATATTATTATTTCTAGCAGAAAAAGCTACATTATTTTGTTTATGAAAATCTTTAGAGGTCCATTGTTTGCTTTTCTCTTATTTTTATTTTATAGCATAAATTCCTCTTAGAATTTAATGGAGTTTTTTCTTTTTAAAAAATTACTGCCATTAAGGATCTAGTCATAAATCTACATATGTTAGGCGCCTTAAATCAGTATTTGCATAACTGATTTGAAAGTAACATATTTTATAAGTGTTAAGTCTTGATGCTATTATCCCATGGCAGTTAATTCCAACCAATGTGAAATGTCAAGGGTGATCTGTTTATAGTGATCCTTGTTCTTTTCTTTTCCCAAGTAGAAGGCAGGAGAGTAACAGCAGATTCCAGGAAGCTAAGAAACAGACACTCGATATTCCTGGTGATTAGTTAATCCCCCTGTCTCCCAAATGGAATCAAAAGAATGCTTAGATTTTGGGTGACTCCCCTCTTTTCTCTTTTTGATACTTCCTATTGCCTGTTCCTGTTAGAGTTAGCTCCTAAACTGAAGATCTGATTATGGACTTCCATTGCCCTCAATGCCCTCTTCTCTAGATTTTCCTTTGAAATCCTACCTGTCCTTTAATGTCTACCTTAAATCTCACTATTCAAATTGAAATTCATTATTCTTCCTCTCATGTTTTCATAACACTTGATTTTTCCATATATTTGAGGGGTCTTCATGAGGTTCATCAAAGTGTGGGTTATAAAAATCTATGCTATGGATTTCAAATTATTTTTTGCACTGAAATGAGCTTATCTTTTCATTTCTTTTTCTACAAAATCATTGAAATATCTTCGATGTCATGAGGATGCCTCATATTTGTGTTAATTATATGTTGCTGTTTTGAATAGGTGTTCATTTGGGACCCACTTAATGGGGTGTAAAGGACATTGTCTGATTTGCACATTATTATTTCCCTAGAATCTAGCATTACGTATTTTGTACATAAAGGGTACTTATTGTGTATTTGTGGAATGATTAACTTAATCTATAAATATTCAAAAATTTTGTTATTGTGCTAAGCTCTGGGTAATATTTTTGCCTCAATTACCACAATATTCTAGTATCTTGTGCACAGGATCTTATGGAAATAAGAGACTTAGTAACTATTTGTTCAACAAATGGATGTTTGGCAGAATGAATAAATAGAGCTTTGTTTTCTCCAAAGCCCAAAATACTCCTGAAAGGAAATTGACCTTTGCTGAATACATTAAGATATTTTTTCATAAATTGAGTAATTGAAGTATCCACAGTAAAAAAAAAAAAAGTATGAAAACAAAACAGGACAAAATGCTCCATCACTTAAAGAGTTGGATGATGATGCATTAGATACCTGAGGACTTAGGTTTTTAGTTTTTATTCCACTGTTTGTGACATGTTGCATGCTGTGGTTTAATAGATGAATGGGCACCTTTGGTAAGTGGACTTCTCATTTGGGTCATGACTACAGATACGGCCAGCTGGGATCCCTTGGAAAAGCAGCACAACCCTAGTGATGTTAGTAAGAGGAAAATTGAAGTGCAGGATGTTAAAATATGGTAGATCAGTTGGATAACAACTGTCTTTGCAGGAAAAACATTATGATTCAACATAACTGAGTTTGGCAGCTACAGGTATAATTAAATAAAAATCAGCAATGATCTGAATTTTGCCTCAGTATGACTAATCCATCATATCAGTGAAGAATGACTCAACTTCTTCCTTAACTAAAGGGGTAGTTTTTTCCTTTTCCTTTTTACCTTACCTTTGTTTTTATTATTGCAATTTGGTTAGAAAGTGATGAAAATCATGTGGTGTCCTGGCACCATATTGGAGTGATGTGGTAGGAATACAAGTGATTGTGCAATGACCTGGTTACTGGAGTAGCTTCTGTAAGCCTCAGGGAACTTATTTTGAGTTTACTTCTTGACTTTTTCTCTTTTTATAAAGAAGAGCTAAGTTCTACAGAGGTAGTTTGGAATACAAACCAGTGCTAAAGAAAATTGATTCCTTCTTTCCCCTTCCACTAATATTATCCTATAAAATTCACTTTTTTCTCTCTTGGAACAGCATAATAATCTCTTAACTGGTTGTATTCCCGCTCTCCTACAGTGAGTACTGTAGAAACCATAGTAACCCTTCAAAATCATAAATACAATCATTTTACTTTTTTCTTATTGATCCTTTAATGCTTTCCCATAACATTTAGCAAAGACCCCATTGTTTTTGCCACAGCCAATAAATTCCCCCATCATTTGCTGTCCTAGCTTGTTACCACTCTCCTCTTGCTGAAGCCTGCAGCTGTTCGGACCTTGTTTGTTGAACAGACTACACTTACTTCCTTTCGGGACCTCAGAGCTCACAGCCCCATTTGCCCCTACTGCAATTGCTATGGATATTTTCATGGACTCCCTCCTTGATTTCCTTCAGATTTCTACTTATCCAAGAGCTATTCAGAGAGAACTTCCATAGCTACCACATTCACAACTGTACATTTCATTATAGTTTGGTTCCTTAACTGGTATATTTTGGTTTGTAGCATTTATCCTTACTTGACATAACATTAATTTGTTTATTTTTCCACTCAGTAAAATTTTTCATAATTCTGCTAGAATGTAGCTTCCTTGAGAGTAGAGAAATGTCTTGAGAATTGTATCTGGTGCATAGCAGGTGATCAATAAACATGTTTTTAAAACAAGTGAATACATTTCTTTAAAGGAGAATTGTATTTCAATATTTCTTCCTGCAATATCATAGTTCTACTGTTTGATCAGAGCAGTTTGTTTTTACTCTTTATTCATTATCCCCAGTTGAAAAATAAAAATATTTTCCTGTTTGGAGATTTTGTGACATGTTTATTTTATGCTTGGAGATCACTTGGTTAAAGATGAATGCATGAGAGATAATCAATATAAATGACAATATGTATGTTAAGCTCCTTTTTTCGATGAAATGATTTCTTTAGAAATTTTGTTTCCTCTAATCTTTCCAATCTGCCATACGATTATCTGTGAAATTGCTATAAGATTTGCCTTTGGTCTCAGGGTATGGGAGCTGCTGCATTTTAGAAAAGTACAGCAGGATTAATTCGTTATTGTTTTTGTTCTGATGTATAAGCAGTTTAAATTCATACTGGCCTCTGTCGTGTGTATGAGAGATCCATACATAATTTGTGTTTTTAATGATTGAGGTTCTCATGGTTCTCTCCATGTATGTCCTGCCAGCGAAAACAAAATTGCTTTTTTGCCACTTAGAATTGTGGGACAAAGCAGCTGACAAATGTCATTTGGAATTTTCTATCCTACAAACATATTCCCAGTGTCAGTAAGCATATGCCTATATGATTGGAGCATCTTCCTTTGAGTTTGTTGAGAAATAATGGGTTGGTTCACTTAAGACAGTTTTGAGATTATCAATATAATCACAAATTGAAATGGGACCCTGAGCTTTCTGTTCACAGAAAAGCTTGCCTGGCTTTCTCTGTATTTGAAGTGATTAACGATGCTGCAGCATTGTAGGGAAATGCTAGGTCTATAATTATATGAAGCCACAGGAGGGAGAAACCCTTCCTGATACTGGTCTTTGAAGCCTCCCAAGATATTTGAATCTAAGCCATTAGGGAAAAAAGCAAGAAGAAAAGAAGTAAGGAAAATGTGAAAAGTGAAAAATCAGTGTATGTAGTAGTGACACTGATCTAGAGGGAGACTGTGCGTGAGATAGAAACAAAACAGCTGGGGCCGTGCTGAACTAATAGACAGCATGACATAGCAGCTTAGCAGTTAAGCAAGAGACCATAAAATTCATACCTGGTTCTCTGGCAGTCTGCCTATCACTCTTGTCGCTTTACCCTGCTTTCTGATCTGCAGTGTGAAGTGTTTCTTACTGTCTTTTGTGGGGCGTAATGACACAGACATACTCTTAACAATGGAAACTGCTATACAAATTCTATAAACAATGGAGTGGAATAGGTGGTCATTATGGTCTCTCACCTCTAGTGTTCATCAAAATATAGGCATCTTAACAGTCAGGAGAGATTAGGATTTATGTAAATTTCAGAATCACCTGTGAGGCATCAGTGATGTCATGGACAATGTTTTTCTCCCCAGTGTTGGTCCCCTGTTCTAACCGCCTGGGAGTACAGTCTGGTTGAGATGCCTACAGTTTGGCTAAGAGGGTGTGAATC